AAAGAGCTTTTAAAGAAGTGGCCAGAAGTCTATTTTTTCAGTTTTTCAATATTAAAAAAAATTTTGAGTGCAGCGAATTTAAACATACGCATGTATGTATGATGATGTCTGTGTATAGAATGGCGTGTCTTTGGAACACTTAGTAAGTCTGTATGTGCCCTAACATAGGGTGTTCATTTCTTGGCATCACGGTCCCTGGCCCCCCTGTGCTGTCACCTCCTGACCCCAGGTGTGTCTTTTGTTTATAGCAGTGACTCTTCGAGAAGACAGTGCCAGGAGGCTGGAGAGGAGAGCGCGCCGAGTGTCCGCATGCCTGTCGGATTATTCGCTGGCGAGCGATAGCGGGGTATTTGAGCCTCCAAACAAAAGGTTAGAAGCTGATCTCCACCCTCAGCAGACTTCCCACAGTGTTACTGTCAGGCACAAGACGTGTGCGTATGGGGACTTGTGCAGTGTCGCAAACGTGTGTCTCCAAGGCTAGCATCTCCTCCGGGCTTCTCTCCACCTTGGTAGTTGGGCCTTAGCAACCCGCCAAGAAAAGTCCTCCGGTTTCTGTGTGGCGGCTGGAGGATGGCCCTCCTTCCGTGGCTCAAGCATGACTTCCTCCTGTCTGGCCCTGGTCAGCTGGAGGCCCAAGCCCCTGCTAGCTGGAAAAGGAGAGCCAGTGGACAAGAGAGACCTGCCCTTCTAGAAAGGGCACTCGTTAGAAGTGAATGTTCTCCCTCCTTCCCCTCTTTCCTAAGCTAGGGGAATCCCTTCGTAACGACAGAACACCTCTTGGGATTCTGGGCTGTGTTTTGATTTGACACGTTTGACATCATTGTTTCCTTCCTGGTGTCTGTCACACATTTTACTTGTCACAGATCGTGTAAGAGTTAGTTCGGAAGTTTGCCCCGAGTAGCGCCTGTGGTTTGGAGCGGTTTCCCAAGCTAGTTTGCTCAAAGACAACAGCACTTTGTAGGCGGGTCCCCACGGAGGTATGTCGTGGGCCTGCTGTGTCCTTTCAGTCACAATCAGAGGTCATTTAAGTCACAGTGTAAGAAATCCCCTGGCGGTAAGAAGCGCCCGGAGCACCAGAGAGCTTCTGGAGAGCCCGCAGTTACCTGTCCGCTGGGCGGTAACGCCAGGGACCCTCCGCTTTGTTTAGGAGTGAAGATGCTGACGAGTCTGCGCCTGGAGACACCTGTGGGAACGAAGGGCCCCAGATCCACGTGGGATTCTTGTGAGTACGGGACACTCCTCCCCTGTCGCTCCTGGAACTGATATGTAGACCGGCGCCCACCCGGTGACCCGCACTTCCAGGCCGGGAGGGATGCGGGGACTCCCGCCGTCTGGGTGCTGTTCCTGGCCTGATCCGGCCTGGCCCGCTTCAGTGGCTCCCGGGAGGGGACAGAGGTGGCGGGAAGGAGGCCTGGGCCAGAGCGGCTCCATGGCCGTCCTCCAGCACTGAGCGTTGTGGCAGGGAGCTGTCCCCTCACGGGGCCAGGACGCCCAGGGAGGTGGCCGCAGGGGCACAGGCCCCCGGGAGGTCTCCACCCTGGGGTCTGGGGGTGCCAGTTCGAGCTGCTCTTTACTTCCCAGGCTTGACAGCGCCAACGAGTGTCTTCTCGTGAACGTGCTCCAGCTGAAGAACGTGGCGGGGCTGGTCCTGAAGGAGGACTGCAAGATGTAAGCCAGCTTGGCGACAGCGCTTCTCCCCGGGGTCCGGGGACCGGCCGGCAGTGGCGGCCCCTGTCCGGGGAGAGGATGCCTGGGGCGCGTGCGGGCCAGGGCTCATTCCCGGTAAAATGCCAGGCCGCGTCTGCCCGGGAAGGCTCAGCGGTGTTCAGAAGAGTGGGTGACGCGGCGGCGCCTCATGCTGCGGTCGTGCAGAGCGAACGGAGAAGCTTTTGGCGGGAGCCGGGGCCCTTGTCTGAGCGAAGGACAAGGGAGAACGCAGGGTTGTGCCAGGCGGGCACTGCCACTAGGAGCCCCGTGGCCCGGGCTGGCTGCGCGGCGGGGCCCCTCACCCGGCGGCTGAGCGCACCGCTCACGGTCTCCTTGAGCCCAAGGGCGCAGGCCCTTCCAGGAATCTTTAAAGCTTGTCTTCTGAAGGCCCCGGGAGCAGCGCGGTCGTCAGTGGCCGCGGGCTCACCCTGGGATTTTGCCCACCGTCATGCTGTACTTGCAGCTGGCGTTTGCGCTTCTCGTTTGTTCCGTGCTGGGGGTGGACAGGGCGGGAAGCCGGGCTGGTGTGAGCGGTGTTGGAGGCCAGGCACGCGGAGCTTGAAGAGGGAGCCGG